TTTTACTTAGTTCACACCATTTATCCTTTACACTGCATATGTTTTGTATGTATGTCTCAGTCCTCTTTTTGCATCGTACACACAATGTGTCCTTATTGTATATATGTTTCTTAGTGCCTCTCGATATCTGTCAAGCGCCTAGCTTTCCTCCTCCCTTCTTTTCTTTCCTTCTTTCTTTCCTCCCTGTTCATTTTTATCCCTTCGAATGCTCGGCCACTGAATGCGTTGAGGAAATACCCCTGGGCCCTCGCAGCGAGAGAAGGCCGGTTGACAGAAGCCTTGTGAGTCACAAACTGAGACCCGGTCACGCGCTTCATTTCGCTCCTTGGCAAGTCCACTCTCTTTATTTCGGGTGTTGCAGAAATTGGGAAACGCCCGAATTAGTCGATCGTCTTCCGATATGTGCTGTGATTCGGCGGGCGATTCTGCGCGCATGCGACTAATACTTTTCCTGCGTAGTTTCTCCGGTTGTGTCTTTCCGTAAGGCATAGTTCTGAGTCGTTCTTCCCAGGTTTTTCTTCCGGTACAGTCGCCTTCGGTAGTACGTAGGTTTCGATTTGTTCACTTTCCTCAGGCGGCTATGCCCTAACCCCACCTGGGTGTCTCCCATTACTCGATCAGTGATCCCTTCCTGGCCATACTTCACTTCTTCTCCTTGCCTGGGGCATTCTCGAACCGTTCCACAAATTTTTGAGTGTGCCTGCACCCACCTCGGATCACTCTTCGCCTACCAGCGGGGTGGCCCCACTTCTCAACCAGTGACTCCTTCCTGGCCATACTTCACTTCTTCTAGTTGCCTGCGGTACGCTCGTATCGTTTTACAATTTTTTTGAGTGTGCCTCCACCCACCTCGGAGCACGCCTCGTCCACCACCTGGGTGTCTCCCATTAACTCGATCAGTGATCCCTTCCTTGCATACTTCACTTCTTCTCTTTGAGACGGCGAGGAGTCACCGCCCCGCTCGAAAACTAGGTCACCGCGCGCGGCGACGTGTTCGCGTGGCGCGGCGGTGAGTCCTGACCTGGCATTTTGCCAACTTTCGATCAATATGACTCTATCTCAGTTTGCTTGGAGCGTTCCTCTTTTTCTCATCTTCCATCTGCCAAGAACATTTCCAAACAGGTAGACATGTCCAAACATGCAGGAATAAAGCATGCAATCGCCACGCGCGATGACCCATTTCCCAGCGCGGCGACATAACCTCAGGCACGGCGGTGAGTCCTGACAAACGCCCCTCCTCCTTGCCTGGGGCACTCTCGAACCGTTTCACAAATTTTTGGAGTTGCCTGCCACCCACCTCGGATCACGCCTCGCCCACCACTTAGGTGTCCCCACTTCTCAACCATTGACTCTTCCTTGCCATACTTCACTTCTTCTCCTTGCCTGGGGCACTCAGGGGGCTTTTCACGAATTTTTTAGTGTGCCTCCACCCACCTCGGAGCACGCCTCGTTCACCACCTGGGTGTCTACCATTACTCGATCAGTGACTCCTTCCTTGCCATACTTCACTTCCTCTCCTTGCCTGGGACACTCTCGAACCGTTTTACGCGCAATAGTTCGTGCAATGCTGAGAATTCTCTTGGTACCACTACGCGGCACCAACACAATTGCCCGTTTTGCACGAACACAGAGCTTTTCGGAACAGTTGCTTTCAGTACGAGGCGGCTGTTGCGTTTCGAATTGCTTTCAGTCCCAGACATGACTTTTTGAATGTATGCTTTGCTTGCAGTAGAGAGGCAGGGATAGCCTAGTGTTTAAGAATGTAGGCTCATGTCAGCACTTCGAGGCACGCGTTCGATCCCTGCGGAGGCACACACCATGCCTTGCAGAAATTGCAAAAATGGGGACGATATCAGCGTCAGGCCCAGGTTGACAGGCCGGCTGATGGAGAAAAGCCGTCACAACAATCATGACAAGTCGCAAAAGTATCAGTGTTAATGCTAGGACGTCACCTGGAAGTGGCGCGTAGAACCCTCGCCCGAGCTCTGTGGACAGTATGCGAGAGGTACCGATGGGTGAACACCTTGGCTAAAGAAGCTAGTTCGAATTGGGACCTTGAACGTGGGGTACCGGTTGCTCACGAGAGGTTGCCGACTTCATGAGACGCAAGAATATCAGAGTCCTATGCTTCCAGGGGAGGCGTTCTAAAAGAGCGAAGGCCCGCGGGATAGGGAAGGGATCAAGCTCTTCTACAGTGGAGGAGACTCCAAACGCAGTGGTGTGGCCATAACTGTGGCGGAATCCCTCGAAGACTGCGTCTCTTCTGTGAACAGGGTCATTAACCGGACCATGGGAGTGAAAATAGATACGACAGAGGGGGACTGCACAGTACTGCACAGTACTGTACGCACCACAATTCGGTTGCTCCATCGAGAAGATGACTACCTCATCATAGCTGGTGATTTGAATGACAATGTGGGTAGTGATAGAAGGGGTCTAGAAAGGTGTACGGAGACCGAGGAATAGGAGCAAGGAACGCTGAGGGATAACGGATCCTTGACCTAGCCACAGCCCACGACTTGGCAATCTGTAGCACCTTTGCGAAAAGAAAGACGCAGAGCATAACCTTCAGCAGTGGAGGGAGACAAACGGAAATCGACCATGTACTGGTGAGAAGGTCGTCTCTCAGAACCGTCAATGATATGAAGGTACTTCCTGGGGAAGAGCTGGGCCCTCTGCTCAGGCCTGTCCTGGCAGCCATCGCCATCGACCCCGTCCTCCCAAGAAAAAGGGTAAGAACTGAGCGGAGAATCTGCTGTCGGAAAGTGCACAAGGTGGAAAAGGATAGCCTTGGTCGACGAATACTGGAGTCTGGGCTCCTAGTTCCAGACGGGCCGGTCCAGTAGACGTGGTCCTACGTAACGGTGGTCATCCTGCAGTGTGCCAAGGAGATATGATGTTCTGGGAGAGACGCGAGGTGCGATCAGAGGAGACAACGCAGCGTGGTTCTGGAACGAAGAAGTTCAGGGAATTATCGAGCAGAAGAAGGCTGGGAAAAGCCATTGAACCCAGAAGACCTCACTGCCAGAGCTGCAAGCGACTCGCTAAGGGAGCCGCGCCAAGGCCAAGTATTCGGAATCGGATGCTCTGCAGGAGAACCTGTAGGGCCGAACAGGGAACAAAATCGTCTTCCGCCTGGCTGAAGCCCGGCATCGCGCTAACGAATACATTGGGCTAGTAAATAAGAAAAATCCTACTATATATAATCCGCTATGTGTGTCTGTTGTGTGTGTCTATGGTGTGTGTGTCACGAAATCATAACACCTGTCCCAGTAGTAGTGAGACTTCGGTTCCAGGAAGAGATGAGAGGGGGTGTGACGGTAATACCACTTGTGGGTGACAGGATGTGATTATCAGCTGAAAGCATTCGATAAGAGGCGTCCAAAAGTATGGTCAACCGCCGTCCATAGTGTGGGTCGCAGCAGCAGTGGGACGTCAGTTACGAGATATGATATAGGCTGTAGGACAGAACACCATTGGTGGGTGATAGGGAACGATATCAGCTGATAAGAGGCGTCAGAAGGAGACGGTACCGGGTCTATAGCGCGTGTTACAGCAAAACAGTGGGACGTTTGTTTCGAGGCAATGATATAGCTATGGCCACAGGAATATCATTGGTGGTTGACAAGAACTGCTAGCAGCCTGATAAAGCATTTGTAAGGGAGTTAGGAGGGGAAGGCCCCCATATCCACACGCGGGACACAGCATCAGCTAGGCGTTGGTCTCAGCAAATGATATAAAAGGGAAGTGGGAAGGCGACGGGGAGTGATAACGGCTTGATAGGGACTGATAAGGAACGTGGCCCGTCGTGTTTCAGACAAAGCGCTGAAGCCTTTGCACTACCAAATTATAGAGATTTAGTGGTAGCGCACATTGGGGCTGAACGGGTGACGGGCAATCTTGTCAATTGATAAGAACTGATAAGGGGACATTCTCACGACATCTATGACCACTACATTGCTAAGTATT